ATTTAAAAAATTATTTCTTTATAGCAAATTGTTAAAAGAAGCATCAGGCAATATTCTTCTCTTCACGAGAGTATTAAGTGAGTTCTCATCAAAATTAGTACTTCGTCTTCATGGGTATGAAGAGAGTTAAATGGAAAAGCTGAGAGCATATATCAACACAACTGCTCCACCAGACTACAGCTGTATTACACCTTCTCTTCACTGGAAAAAAGTGTTCTTCACTCCTTTCTAAAAACTATTGTTTGAAGCAAGGAAGGCGGCACACAGTTATTTCAGGGTACGCAAGATGCACCCAATTGACATCTCAGCCGGAGGGGGCAGGGCGGGTGGAGGAGGGCACCAAGGACATTTCTTTGGTAGATGCATCATGCTTGCATTCCATGAGACAGAGAACATATGCAACACATAAAGGACTGTATACGTGTCAGAGACACATTGCTAAATGCGAACTATGACCTTCCTTTTGTATTTCCTTCCAATGTTTTTAATGTGCCTCAACACTTCCTACGGTGTACAGTCACTACACCGGATGGGGAAAAAATATTGCTAAAAATCCTTGTACTAGTCAAAGCAATGGTCGCTAAACATCAGTTTAGAACCGGAGAACAACCATATAGTCTATGGACAATGATCCAACTGGCCTTCTTGCAAAATTTCCATTATACTGCTCTCTAATAGGCTTACATTTTGTGACAAGATACATTTAATAATGGTTTTGAGATCTATTCCAAGCCAAAAGTATATACTATGAAAGAGCAAATTATTTCAGAATATACAGTTTCGGTTGGAACTGCAGACTATGTAGAATTTGTTACTTCAGACTGTCAACTACTGTTTTTTGTTATGCCTTTGACCATTTCTAAATAAGCATTCATTCATTTGTATACATTTAGGATAGAGGTAACAAATCTTCTGAGGATTTATTGTTAGGAAAACATTCCAAAACACCCTCAAGAAGTCCAACCTTTGTTGCTTATTCATTTAGTAGTTAAATCTTGTGTAAAAAAATATCCTGAACTGGAACAGCTCACCCTCTGATAGCACTGAGGCAGAACGCTTTCCAGGGAAGGCGGAGTTCGCTGCATTAAGATTCCAATGGACTCTCTTAAAAGGGGAACAACACTAGAAAGAAAGGAAATAGTTAATTACAGCCACATCTTCAAAGAATGCAGAACACAACAGTAATATTACTGCTTTCTAATAGAATGAATAAAGTCAGTCAGGATGTATGAAGTGACACACTGAGGAGAAAGCATTATTACAGATTCACGGTGGCGAAAAAAAGAGGTCCTACAAAAGTCACAGGGTTGACATCATAGTAATACTGCTCAATAAAAGTATCAATCTTTATGTCTCAGGCATTTTCAAGCAAGAGTAACATTTTCATTTTGTGGCATTTAGGATGGAGTCTGAAATTATGTCCTAAAACATATGAAAGAAAAATCATATGTTAAAGTATAGTTTAGAACCAAGATCAATTTCAACAGTAATTATAATAGCCATAAAAATGTGCAAGAAAAGTTAAACCATTCTTGCTCTTGTCTCTGGCTTGAGACATATCTTTCTTATGAAATAAGAAAGGAGGGCAAGGAAATAAAACAAAATTAGCATGAGCCAGTCCAGTCATAACAAAATGATTTGTGAAGAATAGCCAGCTTAGCATATTCTTGATGTCAGTTAAATGTGGGAGCCTCATCCAAATCCAAGCAGTGAACATTTGGAAGCAATTCGAGATTTCTTCTTGGCAGTCTAATACAAGGAGCAAAGGAGGAGCATTAAAGCAGGTATGACAGAAAGGTTTCATACACCGAACAAGTTTTACAATACGATACAAATTCTCTCATCAGAAGCTAATGTTATAAGTTAAAATGCCCTTAAAATGCATCACCTTATGTGCATCAAGAATAAAAATACTCTGAACACCATCTTAAAAACACTGCACCCTTTGGCTTACTGTAACATAAGGAATCTTCACAGGATGAAAAGTATTTTGAATCTCGTACAATGTGTCTATATTTCAGGATACTTTTAAAACGGATTGCATTTGTAAGGATCAGCAGTGTCAGAAACTGTAAGCCAGATACCAACACCAGTACAATAACTGGAATAAATGCATTGCTTCTGAGTGTCAAATTCAGAGCAGTGATGGGATGAATGTAATCAAAGGGAATTTAGAATGAATCAGGAAAGATTTTGCAAAAGTGAGATCAATTAGATCATTTGCCAAAAGAAATTGTGAAATCCTTATTTAAACCCAAACAAAGCACTGGAAAGCCACTGTAGAGAACAATTCTGTGTTGACACAGGGGATCAACAAGATGATCTCATAGGTCTTTGCCATTGCCAATTTGTTAGTCTGTGGCAAATTTCAACAGTGAAGTGTCACATCTGTTAGTTTGACCTATAAGAGTGGAGGAAATAAGCTGTTCCTGACAATGGGCCCCTATACTATGTATATGTATCACACATCACTGTTTAAGGAAAGGCATTCTTGAATGGATGTCAAGTTAACTTGTGAATTATAATTCATAGGTTTACTCCTTGCTATGTGAGCTTTTACAGTACTGTGAATAGAAATACCACCTGAACACTAGCTTATTGAGAAATGTATGTTTCACAGTGACTGCGTCTCAATATTTGAATATAAAGCTTCTGTGCCTACAGTGTAGATAAACCACAGATATGAGGATTGCACATTCTTCCATAGAGAAGGGCTAAACAGCCTACCAACTTGTCTTCCTATTTAAATTAAAATCTCTCTCTCAGCAAGAGAAAGAGGCAACACCTTTCAGCAAAACATATGAAACTGAACTTTGCTGGAAATGTTTATGACTTCCTGGTAAAAATATGACTGCATGTATAGCATAAAATATTTAACTTGTCATTTGAAATTGGGGGTGGACATGATCTACCCCTCTTGAAGGTCTGAATATTCTTGTCATTTGGTGCAAATTAATCCATTCTAAAGATTAGGTTTGGCGGGCCACTATGACTGGAATAATAAAATTTAAATCCGGCAAACACTGGACAAAGAAAACATCCTGCTAGAAAGCTGTTGAGCAAAAGTCATCCTTAAACTACAGTTGCTTAATTCTGCAGGAGGCCGACTGCAGACACGACTAAAGAGACGGGGCATTTCTAAAGGTTTGTAATTATGAGTCCCCAGAGTGTGTGTGAAGCATTCCCTTGACAGGTAATAAATCCAGTTGTTGCAACACTTAAACACAAACGGAATCATCTGCCCAACCTCAACGGTTACACAAGTAAATGATTGAGAAATTAAGAGAATTCAAAGGATGAATGGGCAAAAGACAACCCCACGATCTCCCAATACAAACAATGTGGCAGGAATGTCTTGCTGACAGGCAAAAAGTTGTCTTGGAAAAGTTTAAAGACAGTGTCTCGCCCCTCTGAAGAGACTTATGATCTCATTACTCGTACAGTAAAACTCCATTGGTCCGGCATCTGATGGTCCGGCACCATCAGGAACCCAGAAGTGTTCCGGGCAGTCGGACCATTGGAGCTGCTCTGCCCTCGGCTTCTCTGATTCAGCCGCTGCTAAAACTGA